TCCGAATCCCTGCTTTAGAACTATCATGAATGGACCCAGAGCAAATGGCCGTTTTGCCCTATTATCTTTATAAATGAACGGATTATTACATCTAATACTGTATAACTTAAGAGGAAGTGATAAAACAGGCCATTTAAATTGTTTAGTGATTGGTTAAAGGATATTCATGACCAGTGAAGACAAAGTATATACATTAGATACATTTTAGATAAGTTATTGACCTATTATGCAGTGAAAAGTTAAAAATGCTTTTTTTGTTATCTGATGATCCCTGCAACTTTCTGAGTTAATACTTTTCTATAAAATGGCATTACGCTGATAGTTTTATTGCCACTGATTGTAAGTGTTTATACACTTTTGAGCAAGTATGAAATTTTTGCTCTCTCCCTATACATATACAGACATAATGTATATACAACACAGGTACATTTCCCTGTAGTACAGAGTATCCCAGTATGAACATTTTCAAAAGTTTGGTTTCAGTTAATAAGCCTATTAAAACTCTGTATTTGCTCAGGGAAACAATGTAATATGCACAGTAGTCAGTAACACAATTACTTTGTCATAGGTAATAGCAAAAAATGCATTACGCAGTGTTGTTGCTGTATTTGCTATCGGCTAGCATTTGATGCGATGGTTCCATTTAACTTGGATAGATAGAGAGGACCTTGTCCCTTTTCTGATTACAAGGTCTGATAACTGTGAAATGTTTGGTTCTCTAATGCCAAGTATGTTGGGCACAATAAAATTGTTTGTATTTATATAGCAAATGTTTCAGAATTACTTTATAATTCTGCTGTCAGTAATCATAATGAGTTCATTGTTTGAAGGCCAAACACTTCCAAGCAGTTACATTTGTACTATATATCCTTTATACCTTATTTCCTGTGGTCACTTCTTAAGATACCTTTGGTCATATGTTTGTGTATGGGATGTTGCTGGAGGTAGTAACTGCCTTTTCTTGATAGGTCTGGCACTCCATTATATATGTTGGCTGCAGTCCATCTTAGTTTTATGACCATCCATATAATGCACTTTATGCTGGGTTTCCCATTGAGTCTAATTGCTTTTATTTTCTTTATAAATGTGTGTCCTCTTCTTCTTCTAGGTCTTCTCTTGTTAGGTTGTCAAGCGGAACAATCCAACTGTCCCCAAGTTCTCCATTAGGCCCACCCTTTTTTTCTTGCATCTCTGGAGAGGTCTCCATGACTTCCAGGGTTGGGTTATCATGGTAACCATTTTCCATGGTCTGGAGCTCTTCAGTGAGTCGCTAGAAAATGTAAAAATAAAATGTTATTCTGTGATCCAACACATTCTTGCTCTAGAATGATCAATTTATGTCAAGAGAACATATTTTTGTGCTAATTTACCAAAAGAGTTGAAAATATTCATGCACTAAATTGTGTAAATACTTATTCCTGTTTACTTATTTTATCTGCCCGAGATTGGGTATTGAAAGCGAAAAAGGAATTTGCTCGCCAATGTCCTTCAACTTTTCCAAGCTAATCTAACAGTGCTATATGCCAAGTCCCCTGCTTTTCAATCCCATATTGCAGATCCCCTTCTCCAGAACTTCAAACTGTCATGGAGGCACTCGATAAGCTTAAAGGGTTTCTAAAACCTCAATTTTTTTGCATATATCTACGGCTATCAAGCAGTAGATATATGCAAAAAGTTTAAAAAAACAAAAACGGCAGTTTAAACTTACCCCGTCTTTGCAGCGCGCTCACGTTCGAGAATCCGAAACTGCTCGGGCGGCCGCAAAGCATCTTGGGGTGGGCGCATGCGCAGTTCGGATTTTCGGCCGGGAGACGAGCAGAGACGCAAGGTAAGTCTATGGACGCGTGCACCCGCATGCAGACACTGCTGGATCAGAAGTGCCTGCAAGCAGAGAGGAGTCAGCGCTGCATCGGAGAGCCGCCGCACCGCTGAAGGGACAGATGAAAACATCAGGAAAGAAGAAGAAGATCGGATTAGGAGACATAATTTAAGGTAAGTGCTAACATTACATTGGGGAGAGGGAAACATTTTTTTGACTTTAATGTCACTTTCATTCCAGTATCTTAGTGGATACTGCAAAACATGGCACCTATTTTATCAGCACACATGGATGTTCAACTCTCTAAAAGATCATCACGACTAGGGCTGCAATTAACGATTATGTTCATAATCGATTATTAGGCGATTATTTTTTCGATCAATCGGATTAAAAAAATACCATCCTTAATTAAAAAAAAGAAGAGAGCTAGGGAATCCAACCAACTAACTGATAATGAGAATTGTTGACAACTATTTTCATTATCTATTATTATCGAATAATCAATTAGTTGGGTGCAGCCCTAATGATGACCTTTACCCGCCTTCTCTATTTACTTATAGCACAATGGTTTTGAAGCCAGATAAGGATGGTTAAGACCAATATCTCTACTTAATGTAGATAGTAAAATAGTAACTAAAATCTTAGCAAAAGAATAAATACTTTTTTACCCTCCATAGTTCATCATGACCAGGTTGAGTTTATCCTCCTGCTGGGATATGCAGAAAATTATCCATCTTATTAATGTTTTAACTTCTAGACACATACCAGGCTTCATGTTGTCCCTGGACCTGCAACGTGCCTTTGACTGCCTCTATGTGGACAGGGCCAGGTTCACATAGAACTCCCCAATTCAACACACCTATACTAATTTCGGAGAACTGAACATTGAAACCCATCTTTTTTCTTTTCTTCAACCCTTCCTATTTTTGGCCATTTCTCTTTCTATTTTTCTTTGTTACTTTTTTTTTAATAAACTCTTCCTTAAGTTTTACAGTCTCTTTCTGGGGCCTTTTCTTTGTTTCCCTTCTACGTCCACCTGGATGATAATCCCTAAATGTATGGATGCAGTCACCATCTGCAAGTCCCGTTTCTCTTGTCTTTTATGCAACATAGTACAAATAATAAGACACTGCAGGCCATAACTTTGTCTTATTGCACTATTCAAACTACCTATGTATATTCATATTGTTTAAATCACTGACTGTGGGGGATTATACACTGAAGTTCACATGAGCACTTTATATGGACTTTATAATTACTTTTTGTTATATTTGACATGAGGATATGAATATTATTATCAAGATGCACTCTGTGCACAGTTGATATTTATGTATATTTGGGTACAATTGAACATGTATTAGTACTTTTATATTGGGTGAGGGTGATTGGATATTTGAGCGCTGTGTATGTGTTAGTGTTTATTGTGTTAAATATTTGATTTGAAAACATTGATTTTGTATTAAAAAAAACAGTGTAAAACAATTTATAAACTTAAAAAAATTAAAATTAAATTGACCCAAATCCACTATAGTTTCCTTTTAACAGGTGTGTGTGAATACTGAAGTGATAATGAAGTGAGGTTTACCTGTTCTCTCTTTCGAGCCTTTCTCTGGTGCCAACATCCATAAGCAGCTGCAATGATCAACAAAAGCACAGCCAAACTGACAATGGCACTTATAAGGGGAATGCTCACCACATCTTCATCCTCTGGGTCTGCACCATGATATTTAAACAAAGATAAATCAGCCTGGAATGGAAAGAGAAATGATTACACCTAAAATGATAATACACTAAACAGACGAGTTGTTACTTACAATGAAGAAATCTAATATAGTCTTCCAGGGCCACCCATGTAACACAGCTCAGACCTTTGCCACTCAGAATCATTGTTCTAAATGTGTACTTTACAGTGAACAAAAATAATGTGAGGGACCATATATTCCTATAAATATGGAAATAGAAATACTATATATTGCATTGACATTGGAGATTGTGTTATAAAAAGATTATAATGGTTTCAAGTAACACACATATCTGGCTTAAGAAACATGTTTTTAAAGCTATGGCATGGAAATTTACTGTAAGTATAGCGGGAGGTTATAAGCCAAATACAGCACTTTCCTTCCTGAAAACCCAAAGACAGAAATATATGTTCAGTGCAACCCTCACCCCTAGTTCTACTTGCCTACTTCTGAAACATTCTTTTTTTAACTATAGTCAGATTGAAGAGAGGTTGTCCAAGTTTATGAGCAAACCCCCATTACACCCACCTCCCACCATTTGGCTGTCGCATGGAACACAGTTATACAGACCATAGAGAATGATTATGCAAAAAAAAACATATGCCCAAAAGTGATATTGTTCACCACTACTTTTCTTTATACTGGCTTATCAAAATAATAAATGAAATCATGTAGAGGTTGGAAGAAATGTTTAGTGATGTATAGAATTTCTGTGAGCTAAATAGTGCATTATTATATACTGTGTATCCCTCACGGGCAGGGCCCTCCTTACCATCTTGTCTTGAATTGTATTGTGACTGTAATGTCTTCCTTATATTGTAAAGCGCTGCGCAAACTGTTGGCGCTATATAAATCCTATGTAATAATAAGTCAGATCAAAAGAAAGGGCAACTAAGAAAGGCATTTGGACAGAGAGATTCTGATCCAAGAGAGGGACAGTCCCTCCTAATAAGAGACATTTAGGAGCCATGTGTGCCATTGATGCAGGATATTTTTATTTCCCACCGAATATATATATATAATAGACAATAGCTTCCTACATCCAGGAGTGATTCTCACTCCATGCAGATCTAGGATTCCAAAGATCGCGCAAGCTGCAGACAAAGGTAAATAATGAACCAGATTTTGCCGAGTTTACTGGGCAATATCATTCCAAAAGGCAGCTCCAAAAAGCATGATATAAATCTGTTGATTCCTGCCCACACTTCAGACATCAAGAGGAAAAGCTAAGTACCATAAGATAAGACCTATGTGGAGAGATATAGGCTCCATGGTACACTCTCAATACCATTTCTCTATAAGTGGATGCAGCCATTATATTTTAATATATCTTGATAGTAGATATATTTGGAAAACAATTTGCCCACTTTGAGAGACTAGTGCATTTTGCATAATCCAGATCTAATCTGTAGCACCCATAAACACTAGCTATTTCACCCTTAATTGGATTAGGTTTCAATAGCAGCCGGTCTAGGGGATTCTCCCAATCTGAAAGTGAGAGGTTTTTAAGAATACGTATTGCATTGGAGCACATGTGCATATAGGTAAATATTTCACATTTCATGAATGGAAAGCTCTCCGAAATATGTTAATATATGTTAATATGTCTTGGTTTTTATATTGTTTGTTGGTCTTTAAATAAAAAAGAATAAAGTGTAAATGCAATCTCTCTTAGTGGTAAACAAAGAAAAAAATCATGCACGATATTTATACAAATTGAATTTTATAGAAAAAAATACTGTACCCCACTTCTTTTCAGTTGTGTGTATAATTCCTTAGATTCCAGATGATCTTAAGAAGGAAAAAACAGAATTTGATCTAACTGCAATGCATAGATACGTTGTGGCTTTAACTGTCAGCATTTGAATTGGAATTGTTATGTAGATCATTTAACCCTTTTACAGGATATTATTAGTAAGGCTTCATGCTCAAGGCCTCATATACCAGCACCAACTCAACACAGATTGACTCTTGGTGAATTTATCTTGTTTTGGTGTTTGGTGGAAGGTCCAGGAGACCCTTTATTAATTCAATAGGAAGCAGCATTGTTCTTTGTAATACGTGAATTGCTAGACCCCCCAGCTATATAGCTATATAGACTGCATGCTCCTTCTACATGCAGTCTATATAGCTGGGGGTCTAGCAATTCACGTATAAATAAGATAGTAGCTTGTTGAGGGTGTTCAGTAGAGAGAGACTCCCTTCCACAAACATTGGTTTCAGCTAAAAGTGTAGATTCATTAAAGAACCTTTTAGATACTTTCCTCAGAGAGCACAATATTTAAGGGTACAGGTAATCTTAGTAACACACACACGCACACGCTCCACATAGGTTGAAATCAATGGACCTGTGTCTTTATTCAACCTCAACAACTTTGCAACTATATAAAAAATATTAAACAAGAGCAAAAAACTTTTTTTGCAAGTAGTTATTGAACTACTACAAACCTTTATTTTTCTTATATTTTTTAATTCCCATGTGAAAACAATAACTCCATTCTCTGCTGTTCACCACAAATAGATCACAGAATCATAGAACAACAAATAGAACATCAGAAGGAATTGCAGTCAGAAGCAAGCCATATTGTAAACGGCGCTAAACTGTCAATATTCTTTGTGAATTGACCTTTGCAGTAAAACATGCTAATAATCCATAATCTAAATCCATGCCATGAATTCCGCTGGTTCATTGGATAAAATCTTTAAGAATTGGAAACACCATTTTTGATCATAAAACTAGCAAATAACGCAAAGTAATGTTAATGCTGCACACTTTTTACTTTAATTGACCCTTATATTGTATATTTTACCTGTACTTATTTACATATGGAATATTGAAACATGCTATAATATGATTTTTCTTTATCAACTTACTTTCAATGAAAGCTTCAGTAATGGCCAACTCTTTATTGTTAATCCTGGCCAGCTGGATAATGCATCTATATTTGTCTTTCTGGTATTCTGGATTTAAAGCTTTGCATACATGCTTGGTTATTTTCTCTGCTGCATGTCCATCTTCTGTGCGCTTACCGTTATTATCCTGAAAAACACAAATGTTTCAAAACACAATTGAACACTTCTTACAAATATACCAATACTATTTATTTGTAAATAAATTTACCTAAACTATTTTGGTTTTGGTCTAGAACTGTAGATTAACTGTTTGGTTTTTTAGCCTAAAATGGGCTTTCAGTGCGTTCCAGTGCATTTGCATGTGTTTTTGATGCGTTTTGGTGCATTCCAGAGCAGAAAAAATAGGGCATGGTGCAGTTTTTCTACATGCACTGGAACTGAACGCTCTGGTGTGAACTAGAGCCCAAAATACCATTGGAATACATTGGACGCAGTTTTGATGCATTCTGTAACTGCTCTGCTCTGCGCTTGGAGTGAACTAGCCCCAGGGCTGGGTTCACACCATTTTCCAGACCATATCTGGAATATAGTGCACTGCGTTTTTGCCACGATTGGCATTTTTTTTTTAATAAGCTTAAAATGGTCTTACAGGTGCATTCCAGTGCGTTCCATGCGTTTTTGATGGGGTTTTGATGCGTTCCAGTGCATTCTAGACCAGACACAATAGGACAAGCAGTATGTTTCTGGTCTGGTCTGGAACGTACTGCGCTAGTGGGAACAGAGGCCAGACATAGCATAGCGATACATTGGGATGCATTTTGGGTCCGGAAACGGTCTGGTGGTAATCTGGATGTGGTGTGAATGGGCCCTGGGAGCTGCTTCAGTCTGTATGTAAGCTGCTCATAGACTTTAGCTCATAGACGGTCAATCACACAGGTGACACAGGTGTAACACTTAGTGACATTGTATGCCAAGTGACCACTGTTAGCTATAGCTTTTAGAGAAAAAAGATTAAAATGTTAGATTTTAGTTTTAGGCCGAGTAGTTCAGAAACATTTCTAAAATCCTAGGGATGTGAGGTTTTTCCAAATAAAGGACAAATAAATGAATGTATTTATTGCATTTTTTTTTAGCTCTGCTGTTTTTGTAAAAAATATTACAAATCAAAACTGGGGAAAAAAGTGTTTTCTTTACGTTTTTTTTCTTTTTTAAATATTTTATTTGCTCTAAGTGAGGCTTTAGGTACACATATGTGATATACATATATAGCCCTATCTGTCCTCTAAAAAAACAATATATAATATGTGAGGGTGCACTTTGTAAGAAAGTATATTACTGACGTGGAAGAATCACACAGCAAAAATTTCAAAAGTGCTTCGATCATTTACGAACAGAAACTAAAAGCAAGTTCGGTCATGAAGGGGTTTAACATTGCTCTTTAATACGGAAAAAGTTTAAACAAGTACACATATATGACAAGACTTAAAGCAAAGCTCTGGCATTTTAAAAATGTACATATACTGGGTTTCTTTTTCTATGTTTAATATCACACCACACCACCAAGGTGACAAATCATTTCAACAGGTAAGGGGGTATCAAATGATAGCTTTGGATGAATATTGGAATGTACTGTATTATACATAAGGGTTAGTTTGCTGTCCACCAAACACAAAAGAAGGACATTACTGCAGACCAGCTCCATTTCCTGCTATACATCTAAAACATGACTGCGCTTTATTTTTCTTCCAAAATCAAAAGTCATGCATAGATCAAAAGTTGCCCAAATTGTATTCTCTAATCTTATTCTCTACAATGCCTAGTTTAGGAATGCTGCTAAATGTGTTAACTGTATAATTATATTTGCTATAAACTTGGAACATCATATCTTTTGTTTGGGTGATGACAAACAACATTTTCCAACAATGCTTTATCTTGTGAGAGGAACTTTGTAAGGAAAAATATCGTACTTTATCCAGCTGTTGTTTACTGTCACAATATTGTGCATTGCTATGGAGACTTGTATTACTTGGAAAGGGTAATGGAGACAGTCATAAATCTTACATTGCTGGTAAACCTATCTGTCTTTACATACCCTGCACATAATATTACTGTTCACAACCAGACATGAACTTTATGAACTTAGAAATGACTGACTTTAACTGTCCATAGACTTTAGGGTGGGTGGGTTGTACAGGTATGAACTGAACAGTTTTTATCAGATCATTTTGATGAAGGGTATGTATACCTTAAAAAAATTCAGGCTTTTCTCACCTGGTGATAACAGTAACACATTCCCTGTCCTTGGGTGACAATGCTCACTCACTGTATCTCTGGAGGACAGGAAGTGTGTTGGGACCACAGAGCATTGAATCTTTGCAGGATCAACAGGTATGTTTCTGTACTTGCAGAAAAAAACAAGAAAACAAACCACCACATCTAAGGACTTGTATGCTGCAATATATTATATTTCTGTTTCGGGTTTGCACACGCTTTACCTTGTATGCAAATCCCCAGAAAACATACTACACTTCATCCATAAAGTCAGTCCATGCATATATGTCAACTGAATTGCTCTAACATCTATGTAGAATATAATGGCATTGATTCTTAAGTATAATGGTGCATTTTTTAATGTGGTCACCCAGTCCTAGACAGGGATGGGTATTTAAATGTAAACATTGTCAGGCTGTAGTCAGTCAGATTCTGAATGTAAGTTCAGCTTTTGTGAGTCTCTCCTAAGCTCTGGTGACTGCTTGCTTCTGCCTGCTGCTGGGCAGTGTCATTGGCAATAGAGTGGGAGACCGCACTAATCATAGTTAGAAATATTTATGTCCCGTCAGTCAACCACTAGGAGGTTTATTGCAAGTGGTGCAAGTTGGGAGAGGATATAAATGTTCAGGAGTAGCCATGGAAAGTGAGTCTTCCACTGAGCCTCCTGCCTACAACAGGGATGCAGTTGTAAACCTGATCCTCCTAGGTCTGCTGCAATGTGATTGGACCAAGACCTGGATTTGAGGCCTAGAGTGTTGAGCCAGGGGATTGGAATAACATGGAGGTGCTTCAGCCTAATTGAGATACCTGAGAAGCTAGGCAAAAGTTTAGTGCTTGTCTGAAGTGGGGTGATTCCTCCCCAATCATATAGCCAGGAGCTGATTATACAGAATGCCGGATCGGCCTCTAGGTTCTCTATCTGTAAAGGCTGTAAAAACCTTTTATCTTCCTCTTTTTGGGTCTGCCAAGTTCATGTATGTCCTGTTCTTTTAGTCCCCTCTCCCAATAGTGGTGGGAGTCAGTGGCGTGCGGTACCTTCCGTGCCGGGTGAGGCATTTCTCAGCCTGAAGCCCTACCCCTAACCCGGTCACCAAGGTATGTGTGGAGGATGGAGGGAGGAGGAAGGGAGGAGACAGGGAGGAGCCTCCCTGTCCCTCACTTGCTCATCACTGGTGAGGCATTGAGATTGATGTCCTCAGTGGTTTTTTCTTCTTTTTTTGATTGGACAGCTTAGACCAGTGGCACTTTGCCATCCACAGAGCTCAAGCCTCTAACACAGAGTAGAGGCTGTTGCAGCTCTTGCCTCACTTAGCTGTCAAAAGCTGGATGCAGCCCCGCCTGTAACTAACAGGCAGCGCTCCGTTCATGACAGGTTACACAGCAGGGAGGCTTTCACTGCTGTGTAACCTGTTGCAAGCCAGTCTGAATGGAGAAAAAGCTGTCAGCTTCAGATTTGAAGCTGACAGCTTTTTCCTCCATAATACTAAGTGAGGCAGAGGCCTCACCTGCCTCCCCTGACCAAACATCATGTTTGCTAAAAGTGACTGGTGTCTATCAGTTCACATTGTGCTGAAATTGCTGAGGACCAGACCCTGCAGTGAAATGCTAGCCCACCCTGTCTCCTGGGGTTTCTAATATGCCCTTGGAGGGCCAGGGGTAAATCAGTAAATTGCCAAATTGCCAAGTGTTGGCTTTTCTTCTATACCATTACTTGTAAGTACAGCTTGGCAGCACTTACAAGCAATTCACTGGAGAGGGACTGAGCTTTCAGCAGGATGTTGACATTGGCTTATTAGTGGAATGATGCTAAATGGAAATGAATAGCCTTTTCAATTTTTTATTTAGCAATGTATAGAAAAGGATGTGTTAATGTTCCATTCTTTTCCCTGTGTGTTACTGTGTGTTTTAAAAACTATATATAGTTTGTAATATATAGTACATGAGACAGCTGTATTTTTCCTTCCTGCTTTGCAGTGCTACGCTATGGTTGTGCTTCACTGCTCCTTTTCACAATACAATTCTATAAGTCAGCTGACTCCCCTGTATCTTAATCATCTCTGAATTCATGCTGATACTGTCCTTCCTTCTGGAGGGTGGCTACATTTGTTCCCCATGGTCCCTGAGTATGTTGTACACCACTGTTCCAAGCTTGCTCTCGTGATGGACTACAATTTCATGTTTAGTTTACTAATTGAGATTGTAGTCCATCATGGGAGTGAGCTTGGAGTGGTGACTAGGGTTGCCACCTTTTCTTCCAGCAAAACCCGAACACTCTAGCGACGAGGGGACATTTTTGGGGGAGAATGAGTCATGGCTTATTCATATGTAAATAGCGCCTCCCATTCATATGTAAAGATCACAGTAGAGACTATTTTCAGTGGGGGGCCAGTAGCCCCTATGTTAATTTTGCTTGCCCCTGTCTGCCTGACATCTTGTGTTCGTGTTTCCTGCTGCCATGAAACCCGAACACAACATTCAAAACCCGGACTGTCCGGGTAAATCCTGGACAGGTGGCAACCCTAGTGGTGACTACTTTACAACACATGCAGGAACCATGGGGAAAAAAAGTATCCACCCTCCAGAAGCAGGGGTGAAGATAAGGGGGGATAGGGGGGTTCAAACCCCCCCAGAGGGTCCTGGCAGTGGTGTAGCGAGAGGGGCACGTGCTGCCGAATGCGCCCGTCTGAAGAACATCCACAGACGGGCATGGCTGTCTAAAGGGATGCCGGGGATGTCTATTTCATAAAACATCGATGATGGCTGGAAGAGAGCTGAATTTCACTGACACCAATGTTTTATCAAACAGGACATCCCCGGCATCCCTTCAGACATACATATGCCTGCCCGGCCCTGGACGATTTGTACAAGCCTCAGTGCGGGGTCTGCATGGGGCAGGGTGTCCTACCAGGATCAGAA